TAAATTTAAAAAAAAAAATTCAATTTAGCCCAAACAGATTGCATATATTTAACTTTAAAAATAACACTTGACACAATACGTTACTCACACACAGCCCCAAAACTGGTTTCAGCGAACCATCTTTAACAGTAATAAGCATGTCTTGTGAACACAGCAGCTCTTTGGTATGTTATCAGAAATATAATCTCTGGATTGCGTTATCACGCAGCTTTCGTTTAAGAGTTGAGTCAATCCCACATTTTGAGTGAGCCGCATGCGATGATGATTGTTGCCCATGATGGCATAATAGGGTGAGTCATTCTTGCAAAAAAAGGAGGTGGCAATACAGACTGGAAGGTTTACACACCACAATCAGGTGCTAAATACATTCCCATGGTCCTTTTCTGTTCTCCTGCATTCAATGTTCATGCATGGACACACAAAAACTGGCATTCTGTCTATGCTAGAAATGTCATGGGACATTTTAATTATTAATTAATCAAATGTATGCTGTGTAGCCATCCGTCTCATGAGAAGTGACTCTTGGTCTTAAGCCTTAATATCAAACAGGTAAGGAGTTTTTCCTGTTTTAAATCTGTTTAAATTTGGGATTTTAGTAAGTACTGGAATTTTACTATCAACATCAAGGAATTTATTGATATTGGCAAGGCAAAGGAAGGGAGGGTAGGACAACAAGGGAAAAATATAACGTTTTATTTCTTGCAAATACATGCAGGTGTTCAGATACAGTACAAGTAGTCCTCGACTTACAAAAGCTCGCTTAGTGACCATTCAAAGTTACAATGGCACTGAAAAAAGTCAGTTACGACCATTTTTCACACAACCGTTGCAACATCCCCATAGTCACGTGATCAAAATTCAGAGGCTTGACAACTGACTCGTATTTATGACGGTTGCAGTGTCCCGGGGTCACGTGATCTCTTTTTGTGACCTTCGGACAAGCAAAAGTCAACGGGGAAGCCGGATTCGCTTAACAACTGTGGGACTAACTTCACAACCGCGGTGATTCGCTTAACAACCGTGGCAAGAAAAGTTGTAAAATGGGGTTAAAAAAAGTCACTTAACAAAAGTTTCACTTAGCAACCGAAAGTTTGGCCTCAATTGGGGTCGTAAGCCGAGGACTACTTGTATGCAGGTGAAAACCTAGGGAACAGAATTAAAAAAAGAAGAGGGAACACTGGAATTGTCTCAGCTTGCATTTATTCAGATTATAAGCAGTCCTCAATTTACAACCAAAATTAAAACCGATCCAAAAAAAGGAAGTTGCAACTTGGATTCGAACTTCTGACAGTTCCCCGCCTCATCCTGTGGTCATGTGACTGCATGTTGGACACTTGGCCACCAGCCTGCATTTATGGCCGTTTGTAGTGTCCCATAGTCATGTGACTGCATTTTATGATGGTTTTGCCCAAAGGGCATTTATTTCTGGGTTTTTTTTGGCAAAAACCAGGGGTTTGCTTAACAACCATGGTAGCTGCTTAACAACTGCTGCAGAAAAGTCATAATATCGTGTCGGTCACATGGGTGACCTGTTTTATGACCGTTAAGACTTGCAACCCCAATGGGCAGGCTCCATTATGGTCATTAAGTTGAAACCTGGACCTACACATTCAAGAATGTATCACACAAGAGATAAAAATTTCTAACCTTGACATGCTTAAAACCTAATGAGGCTTTTTGTCTATAATATAAACATAGGGAGGATAATCAATAAATTTGTATCATAGTGGTCTATTATCACCGAAGTTGTCTTTTTTGCTTTTCAATCATAAGTCACGGTTTGCAAATTGCATCCATTAAGCCACCACAAACCACATTATAACCCAGTATCCAAACTTGGATGCAGTGTGTCTTGCAGGGGTTTCCATGGGGACGAGATTAAAAATTCAAGATGGCCGCCACTGCATGTGCTGCACACATGAAAAGGGCGGGACTTCAACTGCCTTGTCACACCTGCCATTTTGACTTTTTTGACCCCATCCTGTGGATACCCCTGAATTGTTCTGGAAATAAGACTGGGGGACGGGGGTCAGAGCAGACTGGGTGTCCCCCACAACTCCTGGAAAATTGCCATGGAAAGAATGAGCCCCTTTGACTATGGAGATACTCAGTCATCCAAATCATGGTTGCCTCAAAGGTGGTTTGTTTGTTTTTTAAGGCAATTGGACTTCTGGAACTGAAGGAGCTTCTTGGATGAGAAGCGAAACATCTTCAAGGAAAAGGAAAATTCTATCCTATCCTATTCTCTGTTACTTCTTGCCTTGTTGTGAGATGCTTTGGAGAATAGGGTGCCCCCCCTCTTTTTTGTGGCTGCCCCTCAAATACTGGAAGACTGACATTCATTGCCACTGAAGTTTGCCTCTGAAATTCAGCCATTCCTTTAGAATTGTGTGCGAATCAGGCTGTCACATGAATGAATGATAGAGTTTCATAGTTTGGGGATCACACCTTTTATAAACAAATGGCTTGCCTTGGGATACTCCAAAGTTTAGTACGTTGTGTTAACACCATGATGGCGGACCTATGGCACACGTGCCACAGGTGGCACCTGGAGCAATGTCTCCTGGCACACCAGCTCAGCTCTGGCGCTAGAAGTCTCTGGAGGCTGGGGACAGCAAAAAAGTCACTTCCTGTCCAACCGGAAGTTGGAAAATGGGCTGTTTCAGGCCTCCAGAGGCCTCCAAGGAGGTAGGGAAGGGTGTTTTTGTCCTCCCCAGATGCATAGAGAGGATATGGAGCCAGGTGAGAAAGAAAAATGGGCCTACTGGGCCATCGCGTGCCAGGAGTGGGGGGGGGAAGGGGGTTCACACATGCGCAGGGCGGGGCGCATAGAATTATGGGTGTGGACACACGTGCGCGAACCTCCCCCATCCCCCCCCTTGCTTGCATGTGATGGCAAAAAGGTTAGCCATCACTGTGTTAACACAAACGAGCCAAACCAACCTGCGAGTATAGTTTTCGCTTCAGGGGCTGCATTCACACAGCTCATTTCATCCGGTTACGCTTTCTGGCTTCGCTTAAGGCACCAAACCACAACCAGCAAAATGGGCTGCGATGGCACAGGCTGACCCTGACTCTTTAAACTGCCTTTGCTAAGCGTGTGGTGTGAATTCTTCAACCCAGGTCCACTTCCCCACAGAAAGCCCCATTGGTGTAGGTCAGGGGTCAGCAACCCACGACCCTGGAGCCGCATGTGGCTCTTTCATCCCTCTGCTGCGGCTCTGTCGCTCAAAATATGCGTCACAACCGCCAATGTGTGACACCTGCCAGCACATGATTTGTTGAACTTTTCAACTCCCAGTAAGCCAACCATGGATCAATCCAAGAAAAGAAAAGTTTCAGAAGAAAACAGAATGTTTAATTCAAGTACATATACTAGTTTTGTGGCCACTCAGGAAATAGTCAGGCACAGGAAGGGTTTTGTGGCTCCCAGTGTTTTCTTTTCTTTGGGAAACGGGTCCAAAGGGCTCTTTGAGTGTTTAAGGTTGCCGAACATTGGTGTAAGTTCTGTAAAAGTATGGGCCAATCTAAAATCTAGAGAAAAGAAGAATTAGGGGTGACAGGATAGCAGTATTCCAGGATTTGAAGAGCTGCCACAAAGAAGAGGGGGTCAAATTATTCTCCAAAGCACCAGAGGGCAGGACAAGAAACAATGGTTGGAAACTAATCAAAGAGAGAAGCAACCTGGAATCAAGGAGAAAATTCCTAACAGGGAGGACAATTGACCAGTGGAACGGCTCGCATTAAAAAATCGTGGGTCTCCATCATTGGAGATTTTTAAGAAGAGACTAGACAAGCCACTTATCTGAAATGGTATAGGCCGGGTCTCCTGCTTCAGCAGGGGGCTGGACTAGAAGACCTCCAAGCTCCCTTCCAGCTCATTCTATTCTAAATGTCCCACATACTGACCAGGAGCAAGTTGAAAAACAGAGTCCTCAAAAGCAAGAGATGTTGGTGCAGATCTAACACCTTGACCAGCAGGGACGAAACTACAGAATTACAGAAACAGAACTACAGAAACCTCAGACGCTCTTCAATGTATAACCACCTTGAGCCCGAAACTTCCATTGTTAAGCGAGAGAGTTGTTAAGTGAATTTTGCCCCATTTTACGACCTTCCTTGCCACGGTTGTTAAGTGAATCCCTGCAAGTTGTCAAGGGAGTAACACCCTGGTTAAGTGAATCTGACCTCCCCATCGACTTTGCTTGTCAGAAAGTCAGAAAAGGCAATGACATGACCCCGGGGGAACGCTGCAAACCGTCACTAAAGACATACCAGTTGCCAAGCCTCTAAATTTTGATCACATGACATGGGGATGCTGCAAGGATCTCCAGTGGGAAAAACCGTTATGAGTCACTTTTTTCAGTGCCAGAATAGAATGGGATGAGATGGGATGGGATAGGATAGAAAATATGGAATAGAATAGAATAGAATAGAATAGAGTAGAGTAGAGTAGAGTAGAGTAGAGTAGAGTAGAGTAGAGTAGAGTA